TGTTGGCTGCCAACATCGTCTTTAGTCCCTAGAGAGATGTCTTCTGATTTCTGGCTTATTGCTAGCACAATTTTACCTACAGCACAGAACATGGCAAACTTAGCCCACCACATCAATAAACTGTAATTATAAATGTCAATTTTGTGTGTGTGTGTGTGTGTGTGTGTGTGTGTGTGTGTTTTCTTACAGGTGGTATAGGTTTTTATTCCAAACAGAAAATGAAAACTTAGGTCTAATTTGGAGGTATCAATATTATGGGGCAGCTACAATATAACTGTTACATGGGCAAAAGTTTAATTTTTTAATACGTAACTTAAAATGTGGAGGGAATGGGGTGCCTGGGTGGCTCAGTTGGTTAAGCGTCCAACTGACTCTTGATTTCGGTTCAGGTCATGATCTCACAGTCCTGGGACCAAGCCCTACGTTGGACTCAGCGCGGAGTGTGAAGCCTGCTTGGGATTTTCTCTCTCTTTCTTTTTCTCTCTCAAAAATAAATACTTAAAAATAAATAAATGAATAAATGAATAAAATGTTGAGGGAATGACATTTCTTCTTAAAGGTTTCTTTTTTTTCCTTCCTAAAAGTTTCTAAAACAGAATTTCACCTGATGACAAAAAACATCCAACTATGAAGAAACACTGTTAATCATTCTAGAATTGTTTAAAAAATAAAGAAAAAGTAAAAAAAAAAAATAAATAAAGCAGGACCAGCAATGTTGGAAATGGGAGGAAAATTACAGCTAAAAAATAGGGGAATTATTATTTTTTTAATGTTTATTTATTTTTGAGAGAGAGAGACAGAGCATGAGCAGGGGAGGGGAAGAGAGAGAGGGAGACATAGAATTCGAAGAAGGCTCCAGGCTCTGAGTTGCCAGCACAGAGCCTGATGTGGGGCTCGAACCCACGAATGGTGAGATCATGACCCAAGCCGAAGTCGGACGTTCAACCGACTCAGCCACCCAGGCGCCCCCAAAATAGGGGAATTATTAAATAGATGGCTTATGAACAACCGGCAAGTAATGTAGTGATATATAAACACTAGCGTAACATAGCTAGGTAGCAACTAATGTCTAACTTCATTTCTTTTTTTTTAATGTTTATTTTTGAGAGATGAGAGAGGGAGAGAACGTGAGCAGGGAGGGGGCAGAGAGAGGGAGACATAGAATCCAAAGCAGGCTCCCGGCTCTGAGCTGTCAGCACAGAGCCCAATGTGGGGCTCAAAATCAAGAACTAAACCCTGAGATCATGACCTGAGCTGAAGTCGGACGCTTAATTGAGCCCAGGAGCCCCTAACTTCATTTCATTTTTTAACAGGTCACTAGCCTAGGAGCTCAGGGATAGGTCAGAGACAATATATTTAGATTTCAACAAGATACCTCTTCATATTTCACAGGAAATGTAGGTTAAGAACATAAAACAGTAGGTGGATTCACAATTGAGTTTTACCCAAAAGGTTGATTAATGGAGTGCTGATTTACAGAGCATCACTCCACTCTTACTTATTTTTACCAGTGACCTAAAACAAACACATAGGGGTCATGTTTATGTCTTGTTTATCAAATTTATCTATCAATGATACAAATATGAGAATATGACATGAGGAATGGCCAAGAGGCTAAATAACATTATTAAGCTAAAACAATAAACACAAACTAACAAGACGACAATAACAAGGATAAATGTAAGGTCATCAATTACATGTAAAAAATTACGCAAATTAATGCAATCTTAGACTTTAAGAACAGAGGTACCAAGTGCAGCAGAAAAGAGGCCATACTCTCCCTTGTACTATGTATTGATCAGATTATACCTGAGATGTCATTATTTCAGTTCTCGATAAGAAACCCTAAAGATTCAGGAAACCAAGTTGATGAAGAACGTGAACTTTATTAAAAATGGTCATTTGAGGAATGGCTGAAATAACTTGGGATATCTACCCCAGTAAGAGAAGCCTCTCTTCATGGGACATAACCGTCCTCCAATATTTGAAGGGCTACCATGTTGACAAATAATTAGGTTTATTTATTGTAGCTGCAAATGGCAGAACTACAGAGCTTCAGCACAATGTAAAGAATGTTCTAAAAGTAGACCTCCAATAATGGGATAGGGTATCTGTGAAGTGGGGACCTCTTCCTTATAACATTAGGAAGTGAAAAGACCCAACTACCAGGGATTCCAAATATAATGTATTTTCATATTTCATGAATATATTGATCCCCAAAGAAGCCTGCTGCAGGAAGACAACATTCAAAAACCAGATGCTTAAAAATTGTTTTCCTTGACATGTTTCTAAATAGGTGGAAGACCTTTTCTCTTTTTTAAAGTTTATTTATTTTTTTTTAGTATTCTCTCTCTACATCCAACATGGGGCTCGAACTCATGACCCCAAGATCAAAAGTTGCAAGCTACACCGACTGAGCCAGCCAGGTACCCCGATGGAAGACTTTTTCATGAACTCTAAAATCATAATACCATTTTCAGAGAAACCAACAACAAAAGAAATTAATGCTTCTTCTTTCTTAATGAATGCTGCATTTGTTTTTCTCAAAGAAACAACATCTGCATCTTAACTTTAGTACCTTTATCAAGGGATAAGGGACAATTATATGCCAGCCTGCCAACTAGTCTCAAGAAGAGAGCTGTCTTTGTTATGCATGTACAAGGCAACGCTATTTGCTCCACCTAAAACTTCCTTGCAAGGAGAAGACTCCTCCTTATCAGGCGTGGATGAGGCTGCTTGAACACTGACTCCCTCCTACTGAAGCCTAGGAAAAACTCCGTCTTGACATGTACAAAACAGTAACTTGTGAGAACTTCAGAGCAGCTGTGTTCAGGCAGAGCCAGGGACTTTACTTGAGGCAAAGCAGTATAGCTTAAGAGTTGGTTGAAAAAAACAATTTTCATTTTGGAAGTGGGAGAGGAAAGAGAAGGGAGGTACAAGAGCAGTATCCGTGAACATTTAAAAGCAATGGTAAACCAAAATGCTTAAAAATTACAACACTGAAACTCTCACAGGATGTAACCTTTGATCCACAAGCTTAAAGATGAGGAATATTAGCACTCTCTAGCTTTCTGCTAGGTGTTAACACTAATGAAGGAAAAAAGAATCTTGCATTTAATAGTGCCCAAGTTAAAGCCATCACAAATTCTAGGATGGGAGAATAAAACAAGGGACTTTGCTTCTTCACTGTATATTTTTTTGTGCTGCTGTCAGGCAAACCGCAAAAATGTCTGAATGCCCAACAGAACTGCTGTAAATGTGAAATACTGGAACCCAATTCAGTAATTAATGCCAAAGTGTCAGTAATTAATTAGTCTTAATGTGTTGTAGGGGCAACTTTCTGGCCAGGAGAAAAAGCTCCAAATGGTCCCTGAAAACCGAAGGTTAATACAAAGCAACACACTCCAGCTTCTCTTTATGTAACAGCTTTACCGGCATTTCAGACATTATTTTGCTTCTCAAAAGTAAAAGGAGAAGAGAAGGATGGAAAAGGCAAATCTATGCAATAGAAAAGAAGTTATTAATTAATTGGCTGCATTGGTTCAATCCATTATTAAATACACAACTATCAAACAAAGGGCAAAGGCTTGTCCCTTTGCTGTACAGAATTAAGAACTGGTAAGACTACTTAGTATAGCTGCCAAACTTTTCTTTAGCTTCTTACAGACATGTTACATTTCGCAATAGTCTCCACTTACCTTACATCCTCCATGTTTAAGTACAAATTGTGTTTGATTTCCTCAACACTTGCCCTAAGATATTATGACATATCTTTAGCTTCTGAGTCTAGACACAAAGGAAGAAACTGAATTTTTTTCACTTTCCTGAAATACATGTCCATCTTATTTACACCATTTAAAATATATAAGCTAATGAAAACTAACTACAGCCATCCATTTAACAACTCTTCAAGAATATAAGTGGATACGACGTTTAACAAAACAAACTTCAATTTAGTATATTTTTCTGTGCTTACAAGAACTGTAAAGACCGATGTCTTTATAAGAATTACTTTACTTATACTACTGCAAAGTTTTTAAACATAAGAATCAAGCGAGCTTGCCCAGAAAGCTCTGCAGACCCCCACAACCCTACACTTACTAGGACACAACCTTCGAAGATACTAAAATACTCCTCTATTAAGTGGAAAACAAACTTTTAAAGTTAGGAAAGTAGCAACGCGGCAATCTGGGTAGGAGGTGCCCTGGGTAGTAAACACCCCAGTCAGAGAACATAACAAGCAATTCAGAGCAACATATGACTCCCAATGGGGCTCCAACTTGGGCTGCTTAAGTCCCAAGCCCCCATCCCTGAGTTTAGGAAGATAGGAGTGTAGGAAAAGGAAGAGAGAGAGAAAGGAAATCACAATAGAAGTGATGAAATTGTTCTATTTTTCTCCTCCTGTACCCCTATCCCACCATTCTTGCAAGCTGGTCACCAGACTAGGTGCCCTATACACCAAAAGCCCCGAATCAATATCCTAGGCTGCTTCTGATACCTAGGCTAAAAACGTATCTATCAGCTGTCTCGTTTCCAAACACCACCTCCTTTACCCGCTCTGAATTCCTACACCCTTCTCCAAACCGATGCTTTTTGACTACTAAGTCCACCCCTATTAACTTCCTAAACTCATTCACTGAATCTTCTCCAAATTCAGACTTTCTCTCTGAAATCCTGTCCCTATGCTTTTTCATAATGCTGTCGAAATGCCAGGACTCCCATTTCCAATGATTTACTCCTACCTATCTTTCCAACCAAACCCAGTGCCATGTTTTCACCTACTCTCCCTACCTCCTGCCTATTACTCCTGGCTCTTCCAATGCCAAGCTCCTAACACCACTCTTTGATAAGCCTGGGTCTTCAACCAATTTAGTACCCTTCCCCTTCCTCCCGTTCCACTCCATCCCCTGATCCTCCCATTAGGCTCTACCAGACTTCCATTCCCTCAGGATTCAACTCCCCTCTCCTTGCCACGCCCTGTGCCCCCCGGGGCTACTTACCCCAAGTTCTCCCCACACTTCAGGCCTCTGGCCCCGCCTTCCCCCCCAAAGGAAGGAGGCGGTAGGAGGGAGAGAAGAGGGGCGGCACTCCGCAAGGTAAGGACGATCTCTCATTAGTGTTCATCGCCGCCAATCGTAGCTTCCTTCTCTTTTATTGGCCGGCGTTAGCCCATGCCCCACCCACTTCCTCAGACTGGGCCCGGCCACCGCCTCAGCGCCCCCGTCCAACACAGACTGGGAGGGGAGACCCCGGCCTGGGACACTGGGACTGGCCAGAGTTGAAAGGGAGACTCTGCCAGATCATGGACTAGTTAATGTTAAAAGAACTCACCCGCTGGTAGCTCCGTCGCCTCCCGCCCGCCCGCGTTCGGTCCCACAATCTGTCTCCAGCTCCTTCTTTCCCCCCTCAGCGGAGCAGATACTTTCTTCTCGTCCGGCCAGGGGCTCTCACCTCTCGCGAGATGTGGGGGGTGCTGGGGGAGGAAGGGCGAGATCTGTAGGACCTAAGTTGGAAAGGGGCCGAAAGGCGGGGCTCCGGAAAAAAGAAGGGGCCGGGCTTTCGGTGGGTCGGGCTCGACTGGGGAGAGAGGCTGAGCGAATTCGGTACACACAGGTTACACGTGTTTGGCTGTGGAATATAGGGGTAAAACGAAAGGGAAAGGGAATCCTTCCAGATGCCTGTAGTGGTGGAGATCCAAAAGGTAGCGTGAAGGGGCGCCTGGTAGAAGAGGATGCGATTCTTGATCTTAAGGTCATGAGTTCAAGCCCCACCTGGGGTATAGCAATCCCTTAAATAAATAAACTCAAAAGTGTATATTCAAGTAAACATTCTAGGGAATGAGATTATTTAAAAGGAGCGCACTTTGGTTTCCCCTCCCTTGGCCGCTAAAGGAGCACACTTGAATAACAAGAGTTTTGGGGTACCTGGGTGGCTCAGTTGATTCAGCATCAGACTCTTGATTTGGGCTATGAGCTCCACCCGAGAGACGGAGCCTGATTGGGATTCTCTCTCTCTCTCTCTCTAAATAAATAAACGTGGAAAAAAAAAAAAAAAAGAAAGATTATACCTAAATGAAGCTGTTTTAAAAGAAAAAGGGGGCGGGGAGGGACTTGAGGCGGATACACAAGGAGATTCAGGTTGCCAAACAGTTGAGTAATTGCATTTTCTTCTTTGCACTTAGAATAATATCAGTGTGGCCATAACTCTGCTATGTGTGTGACTGCATAAGGGGTGGGGATGGTAAGGGAACTGGCGACTTACAAATAAATGTGCAGGTTGTTTCTACTCTCCTCCAGAGTTATCACTTCCTTAATTGGAAAGTAGTGTGAAATGCCCTTAGTCCTAGAACTGGAGTGAATGTATTGGAAAAAACAAGCCACCTACCTAAGCAGTCCCAACCCTGTTATTTAGTTAGCCTGTGACTTCCAGCGAGATGATTCTCTGAATCTCTTTACTCTGGGGCTAGTAATCCCATTTTACTCAAAGAGTTGTAATGATCAAATGAGATTAAATATATAGCACTGGGAATTAAAGAACACTATTTATTATTCAGTAAGTATTTCAACAAATACTTAACAGGACATAGTATGTGCAAGGCACTGTTCTAGGCATGGGGAGACGAGCAGACAGACCAAGTCCTGGCTCTGGTAGAAGTTATATCTTTGTGGGGAAGGGGAGACAGTTAATAACCCAATAAACACAAATATTTCAGTAGTGAAGAGTGCTTTCAGGGTAATGAGACAGAAAGTGGGGAGGTGGGGAAGCAACTTTTAGTCCTGGTGTCGAGAAGGCCTCTTTGAAGAAGGAACATGTTTGCACCAGCAGTTGAATTACGAGAAGACAGCCTTGGGACGATTTTAGGTAAAGCATCAAATGGAAAGACTATATTAAAATTTGTTCTCATGTGGTAACCAAGATGGTACTTTAAAAAAAAAAAATTAGGGGTGCTTGGGTGGCTCAGTGGGTTAAGTGTCCCAACTCTTGATTTTAGCTCAGGTCATGATTTCACTGTTCCTGAGATCGAGTCCTGCATCAGGCTGTGCACTGACATTGCAGAGCCTGCTTAGGATTCTCTCCCTCCACTTCTCTCTGTCCCTCCCGTGTATGCTCTCTCTCTCAAAATAAATAAATAAGCTTTCAATTATTACTATTTTTTAAAGATTTTTATTATATATATATATATTTTTTAGAAAGAGAGAGAGAGCACACATGAGTAGGGAGGAGTGGAGGGAGGAACAAAGAGAGAGAGGGGGAAAGAATCTCAAGCAGGCACTGTGCTCAGAACAGAGCCTGAGGTTGGGATCATGACCTGAGCCGAATTCAAGAGACTGACACTCAACCAAATGAGCCACCCAGTTGTCCCAAAGATTTTATTTATTTATTTTTTTAATTTTTTTTGACGTTTATTTATTTTTGAGACAGAGAGAGACAGAGCATGAACGGGGAGGGGCAGAGAGAGAGGGAGACACAGAATCGGAAACAGGCTCCAGGCTCTGAGCCATCAGCCCAGAGCCTTACACGGGGCTCGAACTCACGGAGCGCGAGATCGTGACCTGAGCTGAAGTCGGACACTCAACTGACTGAGCCACCCAGGCTCCCCACCAAAGATTTTATTTTTAAGTAATCTCTACACTCAGCTTGGGGCTGGAACTCACAACCCTGAGATCAAGAGGCACATGCTCTTCCAACTGAGCCAGCCAGGGACCCCCAAGATGGCACATTTTATGTTACATGGCGTTTTGCCACAATGAAAAGACCAACCAAACAAAAATCAACTTTAAAAAGTTACCATAATTTTAAGTAGAATTGACACAAAGTACTACCAATGGAATCTATTTTCTCTCAGGTAACTTGCCTCTACAGCGTTATATTAGTTGGCTTTCTGAACTTCCTTCCTGGGATATCGTCCATCCTCATAGCACCCTCTAAAAAGTAGAAAGAATCCAGGTGATTTCTCCCTAGGTAACAAAGGTGAAACAGAAGCATAGAACCACTTATGTTCTTGTGAAGTGAATTGAGAAAAGTTGAGAAAAGTCTTGGCTTCCAATCTACTCTCCCCTGAAACAATTCCTAGTTAAAAGAATGCAACAATAGAAACAAATCCTCAGTGAAATGGGAGATTTGTATATAACAGAAGTGGCATTAAAAATCAGGGAGTAAAGGGGCACCTGGGTGGCCCAGTGGTTTAAGCGTCTGATTCTTGGTTTCAGTTAAGTCATAATCTCATGGTTTCTGAGATGGAGCTCTGCATCAGGCTCTGTGCTGACAGTGTGGAGCCTACTTCGGATTCTCTTTCTCCCTCTCTCTCTGCCCCTCCCCAGTTCTCTCTCTTTCTCTCTCTCTCTCTCTCAAAAAAAAAAAAAAATGTAGAGGGTAGGGGTGCCTGGCTGGCTCAGTCAGTGGAGCCTGCGATTCTTGATCTCAGGATTGTGAGTTTGAGCCCCATAACAGGTGTAGAGATTACCTAAAAATAAAATCTTAAAAAAAAAAAAAAAGGGAGTAAAGGATTCTACAAATTGTGTTTGGACAATTGACTATTACTCTATACATACAAAATAATAAATATAGTAGCTAACATTTATAGATCTTGCTGTGTTCCAGGAACCATTTTATTTTATTTTTTAAAAAAATTTTTGGGGTGCCTGGGTGGCTCAGTGGGTTAAGCGTCCGACTTCAGCTCAGGTCATGATCTCACAGTTCGTGAGTTCGAGCCCCACGTCAGGCTCTGTGCTGACAGCTCAGAGCCTGGAGCCTGCTTCACATTCTGTGTCTCCCTCTCTCTCTGCCCCTTCCCTGCTCATTCTGTGTCTCTCTCTGTCTCAAAAATAAACATTAAAAAAAATTTTTTTTAAATTTTTAATGTTTATTTATTTTTGAGAGAGAGAGAGACAGAGTGTGAGCAGGAGAGCAGCAGAGAGAGGGAGACACAGATTCTGAAGCAGGCTTCAGGCTCTGAGCTGTCAGCACAGAACCAGATGCAGGGCTCGAACTCACAAACCATGAGATTATGACCTGAGCCAAAGTCAGACATTTAACAGACTGAGCCTCCAGGAACCATTTGAAGTGTTTTACATGTATTAATTCATTTTCCTCCAAGTTTATATCTCCAACTCCTATCTCTCCCCTGAACTGAAGACTAATATTTCCAATTACATACTTCAGAAATCCACTTGGATATCTAATGGGTATTTCTTTTTTGTTTTGGGTGTGTGTGTGTGTGTGTGTGTGTGTGTGTGTGTGTGTGTGCGCGCGCGCGCGCGTGCGCTAGTTTATTTATTTGGTTTGGGTGGGAGGGGAGGAGGGGCAGAGAAAGAGGGAGAGAGAGAATCCCAAGCAAGCTCCCTGCTGTCAGTGTGGAGCCAGACATGGGTCAACCCCACAAACCGTAAGATCATGACCTGAGCTGAAACCAAGAGTCAGATGCTCCTGAGGCACCCAGGGGCCCCTCCGATGGGTATTTCTTTTTTGTTTGTTTTTATTTGTTTGTTTGATTGATTTAAATATTAATTAGTTAACATAGAGTGCGATCTAATGGCTATTTCAAACTTCGCCATGTCCAAAACAAATTCTGCTTTTCTCTCCCACATGTGTCCCTAGTTTTCTCTATCTTGGTAAAATTCCGCGATTGTCCCAGTCGTATTTTTTTATTGAAATGTAATGCATATACCACAAAATTCACCTTTTAAAGTGTACAACTTAGTGATTTTTAGTATACTTACAAAGTTATGCAACCATCATCAGTTTCTAATTCTGGAAAATTTTCATCACCTCAAAAAAGAAAGCCCATACTCACTAATAGTCACTCCCCATTTGCCCCCTCACCAGCCGCTGGCAACCATCAGCCTACTTTCTGTCTGTGAATTTGCCTGTTATGGACATTTTAAGTATATGGAATAATATAATATCTGATCTTTATAATATCTGAAAACATGTCTGGCTTCTTTCATTTAATATAATGTTTTTGAGGTTCATTCATGTCAGTGTGCATCAACACTTCATTCGTTTCATGGCAGAATAACATCCCATTGAATGGATATACCAAATCTT